TCTCGATGGCCTCCAGCCTACTGCTAGGCTGGAAATGAGTTATCGAAGATATATCTAAGTTACACTACATGTGAGGAAGTTATAAATTCTACATATAAGTTAGTTACAAACAGTTTATAAGTATTATAAGTAAGTTATAAGTAAGTTATAAGTAGGTGCCAAGTAGTTAATATTTTCTGAAAATTAGACGTCCGCACTCGGCACGCGCGGTACGCAGGCTTACTTTTTCACGCGCAGCAGTGCTCAGTGGATGCTGGTGATCCTTGCGCCGTCACTTCTCCACCAACGCGCGGTCGTCCACTGCGCCGCCTCGTCTATGCGGTGCCACGTGTCCCTGGGTGTCAGATCCCAGACGGAGCCCCACGGTTCTCGGGACACGATCTGCGTGCGAGTCACCCTCACGCGGAGGGTTGTCTGTTTGGATTGCACCAAGTCTCGGATCATGCCTCCACCGTCTCCGTGCCAGCGCCAGATGACGTGGTCTCCCACAAACAAAGTACCCGACGCGCTGCGGGCAGATAGCGAACGTTCCAGCGACTGATCGCGAAAGAGCCGCTGCGACTCTGACGACGCAGGGCGAACCTCCTGCAGTAACTTGCAGTTCCATGAAGTTGCGTCCGCGTCGTCCACGAGGCACAACGCGCCCAGCGTTTGCTCCTGCCACACTTTTCCGACGTTAACCCATGCTCTGTGTTTGTCCATGATGCCGCCCGACTTGAGCGCCTGGTGCTTCTTCTCCATGGCAGAGCAATCAGGCACGAAGCCTAGCTTCAAGATATCCGCTGGTAGATGCAGCCGATGATGGCGCTTCGGCCGGACCTTGTCCGCACCATATGCCTCCACAAATGCGCGGTGGTGCGCCTCTTGTTTCCGGGCCAATGGAAGCACGTCCAAAGCGGAAGAAATCAAATCAACTCGACTCCTCAAGCGGTGAATCTCCCGGTCTACTTCGACTAAGGCTCGGTATGACTTGGTTTTCTCCCCCGCGAAGCCCTGCTGTATCAATAATCTATCCACATAGTAGTGCAGAACATGCAACAGCAACATGCAGTCGCTGGCGTCGCCCTTGAACCCCGTCCCAGCTTCGTGCATCTTTTCGCGCAACAGTCCACGCAAATATCCAGGTCGCTGGGTACGACCTTGGCCCTGTGCGTGCCAGGACGATACGTCGCAGACTTGCTGGAGGTCTGCTAGACTCACGCCGCGGACTTCCAACTCTTCCAGTATAAGACCAATCTCGCTGCTACAGATGCTGTTGGCAAAGTAGTCGTGCATGACATCGGTGCAAGAAGAACTAAAGGGTAGACGGGCGCGTGCTCGAGGGCAAAACAGCAATCCTCCCGGCAGCAGGCGGACACCAGTTGCTTTTTCTCTCTCCTTCAGTGCAACTTTCGTCAAGGGTTCCTGCAAGGAGTGCACCGCCGCATCATACGCGGCGTCCGTTCTCGGGTGGAAAGTTGCCAAATCGGGTTCGGCAATAGTGCAGAAGCCTGGAGGTATGCTCGTGGCCTGGCGACTGAGGACGTTGCTGCATGCACCGCACGGGAGCAAGCCAGCGCTGCCCTTGATGCCATACGTCGCACGCTGGGCGTCGTGGTCCGCCACGAAGAAGGACTTGCTGCGCAGGCGCAGCTGGCTGTCGCCGTGCGCACCACAGTGGATAGTGAAGCCCGCCTCGTGTCTGTCCGCGTGTAAAGCGTTGACCACGCATCGCATGATGCCAGACGTCCCACCTTCAATGCGGTCCACCTGCGTACGCTGAACACAGCCCAGCACAAACCACGCCTCCGGCTCCGGGCATGACACGGTTCGGTGCATTTCTCTGAATGTGCAGTAGACACAGAGAGGTTTTTTCTTTTTCACAGGAGCCAATATATTGCCTCCCGTGACTTCATCGTTGTATAGAATGGCCTGCACGAGGCCGCTCTGAGCGCCCGCCGCCTCCCAGAGAGCTGAAGCCCAAGCTGGGTACGTTGAGACAAGTGCCTGCAGCAGACGCTCCAAGTTTGCCACATACAAGGGTTCTGCGGGCTCACCTGCTTTCGCACTAGGAAGCCAGTGTAGGTCAAAGCAGGCTTGGAATCGAGCTTTGCGGTCACGCACCGCTGTCGACCCTTGCCATCGACTGATTTCACTTCCCTGCGCTACGGCAGAGTTCCAGATGCGCACCGCGTCGCGTACACTGGACTGAGTCCCGCGCAGGGCGTCCCAGAACGCATCCGTGGTGCCTGGATCTTTCCTCTTCCGTCCCGGCATGGCTGCAGCGCGGTCATGCGTCGAGCCGCAAGTGGTCTGAGCGGCGAAGTCGGGATCTTTTCGAGACAGTATATATATACGTTAACGGCGAAGTCGGGATATATTCAGAGGCTCTTTTATAACTATATTGACTGCGTGGTGATACAGATATACTAAAATTTAAAATACATTTGCAAGAGCTTCTTTTCAGCGCGCACGAGTCCGTCGCAGACCGCGCTACCATCATCACAGACGATGCAGAGTACTAAACAAATTAAGCACCTTGTCGTGCACGCGGGCTACATCCGACGAGTCGAATGTAAAGTCCTCCACCTCCTCAGCGTCGGCGTGTGCTGCGCGCCGGAGACAGGCCCTCGCAGGGACGAGCATGGTCTGCACCACCCGCAGGGCTTGCCCCATGTGGATGATGCTGCTGGCCATCTGGCCATCGCAAGCCAGTCGGCGTTGCAGATCTGTTTCCAGCGGCTCCAACACGTCCACAGTCTCCTGAGCCAGAGACCGTGGGGCGGTGTCGGTTGCAGTTTTGGTGTCCACGCCGATCGTCTCCTCATCAGAGGACGATGCTACGTGGACCGGAGCCATGTCCGCCAAGAGAGTGCGGATGTTGTGGTGTACTCCCAGGTCCGCAAAGCGCGGACCATAGAGATGCACACGCTTATTGGCCACGAGCACGCCATGTATTTCGCGCACCATGCCCGGTGCTTTGCGCTTGCGCTCAGTGAGTGGGGCGTGCGGTAGTCGACACTCCATGGCCATGGAATCTAAAAAACTGAGCCCGCAAAATGAAATGGCTTCACAAGCAGACATTCAGACAAGCAAAGACACAACACACAATACAATTTGTGACATATCTCTTCCACCCGCGCGCGAGCGTCCTCTCGCCTCTGATTTTCATCTGCTCACATACCAGTTCCCCGTGGCATGGTTCAGCCGCGCAAACGCAGCACTCTATAGCGCAAAAAAGGAGACCGCAAGGCATGCGTCTACGTGTCCGCTTGGGTCTCGGCGGCTTCGTCAGCGGCAGCCTTTGCCGCTTTCACGTTCTTGCGCATCTCGGTTAGCAACGACTTCGTGGCCTGGACGTGGTTCTTCAGGTCCGTAGATGAGAACGGCAATGGGGGCAAGGGCGCATGAGCAGAGATGTGGTTGCCAGCCGATACAATGGCGCGCGCAGCCGCCTTCTTCTCCTCTGTGTCCTTGGCCGCGTCCATCAACACCTGCACGTCCAAGTTCACACCCTCTGCCTGCCTCTTCACAGTCGCCAAAGCCTTGGCCTGCGGGGTGAGTGCGGCGAGGGCCTTCACAGCCGTGGCCAACTTGCGCTCATTTTCTTTGTCCGTGTTCTTCTCCTGCTTCTCCAGTCGCTTGGCCTCAGACGCTTCCGTCCCCTTCGCGGACTTCGCAGCCTTTGCCCTCTGCTGTCCCCCCTTTGCTGCCCCCGCGGAGGTCATCGGCTTTGCCACATCCCAGTCGTCCTCCTCCGCTTCGACCTGCTCGTCGTCTGCCTTCTTCCGCTTTCCCGACTTGCCCGGTTTCTTGGTCACGGCCTTTTCACGGAGAAGGACTTCTTCTTCGACCTTGCTGCGAATCTCCTTCCACACATCCGCGCGCACTGGGACTGCGTACAGCTGTCCGAGCTTCGGACAGACTTCTGCAGGAAATGCCTCCACAGATTCACGGCTGTAGCCCCTGGCCACCCAGACCGAGAGGGGTAGTGCCTCTGCAGTCACGCGGTTCTCAGTGGAGTCCATACGGGATTTCACCTCCGTATGAATGACAACCGTCTTGACTGTCTCCCAGGCATACCGTCCATCCGGCGCGGTCTCAGAAGCCTTTCGGAAGAAAGCTTGCTTCTGGTCTTGCGTCCATTTCTCCAGCGTCCCGGTGCCAACGTTCCGATACAGCATGCTCTGCAAGGTCAAGCACGTCCGGCACTGAAAGGTCTTGCCTTTCACTCTCCCGGGTGTGTCCGTGGGCAGGTCGCGCCTGCACGGCTTACACACCCGAGAGCTCGGCCCCTCCTGCGCCGGATTCTCCTCGACCATGGCTGCCATCAAGACGTCCAGCACGCTGCTGTCTGGAGCTAAGCGGAGACGCGTTCGAGCCAGAGCACGCTACAAAATCCTTGCTTTTTAAAAATTTCCTATGTATGGGGTCCGACATCGACCGACATCGACCGACATCGGCCTACGTTGCGCGTTCGACGAAGCCTAGACGCGGGCCTTATTTAGTTATGTAGGGGCCGACATGGTCCGACATGCGTAGAAACACAACATCGAAAACGGGGTCCGACATCGACCGACATCGACCGACATCGGGTCGTCTGAAAGTCCTCCTTTTCTGTAGTGTCTATATCTCTGAAAATATATTGTCCGTTTCGCTCCTACATATACTATACTCTCTCTATATATATATTCTGTATTTATTTGTATGCGGCTGCGTACACCGCTCGGCTCGCACGGCTATAGCTCAATCCTTTTACACGCGCGCGTATCCGTGCTGCGGTCTTTGCCTGTCCGCATCAGCCAATGGTGATACGGATGGGTCGGCCGCCGTGCCTCCTCTGTTTCTTCTTCTTCGCTGCTGAGGGTGAGGAGCTGCTGCTGGGCGGACGTCCTCCGCGCTTCTTCTCCTTTTTCGCCGGTGGTGAAGAGCTGGAAGAAGTCGATGACTTTTTCTGCTGCTTCTTCTTTTTCTTGCCAGGCCAAGCGTTTGGCATTGGCGTCGCGTCAGGCCACTTGTGTTCAGCGCTCGGCTTGAACACCACCCGCGTCCCAGTGGTCCTTGGCCAGCTGCGCTTGGCTCTGGCACCAATCCCAAGCCCCTGTGCGGAGCCGGTCCTCCGGCCTCAGCCGAGACCACTGAGCCACACTGAGGCAGTAGACGTTGGAGCGCTGGTGTTGGCTCAAGCCGCTAGCATTGCTAGTGACCCATTGGTTGCATACACCGCAGCGCTGTCGCCCAGCTTGCGCCTTGCCTCCTAGCGACGAGGCCACCGACACAGCCCTGCCAGGAGGAGGTTTGTCTGGTGACTGTGGTCGGCGCTTGGCCTTCTCGCTCTGAGCAGGTCCCCCAGATGTGCGCGGATCTGTCCGAGACTTGTCGCGCGTCTTGTGGCGGTGACGATGCTCAGTGCGCTCCCTGTCGCGTCCCCTCTCCTTGCCCTCGCGGCTCTTCTCTTTCTTGACCTTCTCTTTCTGCGGGCGGTGCTCCTTCTCTTGGCGCTCCTTGTCTTTGCGGTCCTCTTCGGCCCTTGCCCGCAGCAAAGGCTTGTCCGGCGATGAAGACTTCTCAGACTCTGCTGAGGAGTCTCCTTCTCGCTCCGCTTCTTCTTCCTCTTCTTCCTGCGAGAGGAGGTCCTTGTCCTTCCGGGCCATTGGCGTACCTGGCGGCAGTGCGCGGCGGACGAGAGATATATATATATATATGTGTGCATTTGCGCGTGCGTGTGTGCAGACAAGATATGTATATATATATATATATATGTGCGTGCGTCACCCCGCAGGTGAATTGTTCACTCACCACCACGCAGGTGGGACAGACACTCACCACCACGCAGGTGGGACAGATACTCACCACCACGCAGGTGG